TCATACATAGTAAAAGTTGCTACAGGGTCAAGATATGGTAGCTACCAGCAGAAACAAAACCTTTTACCTGGAGAAAATTAACCTCATAGTTTATTTTAGTCTTAAAAGGACTTGAGACTAGATCATCTTAAATTTCCATCTTTATCTGAATAATAATTGAAGGTTAAGAAAGGATAAAGAAGTCAAGTTTATCCTTGTGGTTATGCTTTACCTTAAGCTAATATAAGGTAGAACAAGAGCCAAATAAATATAGCATAGCAGTAGGTAGTACTTAAATACTCAGAATGAGATGTATTTGCAAGTCCTTTTTTATGATGTCGTTGGAAACTCAATTAAATGCTCAATAAGTATTTATAAACTAAATGCACTCCAAATTTTAAAAAACCTTTGGAAAGGCTCATATACTTGGAATTATATTCCACTATACACTGAGTACATAGAACAACTAGTGAGTAAGAATTTTGTCAGGTCTTTTTCTGAGGTTTCCAGAAGTTTCCAAAAGTATTTTCTGGAGCAGAGAAATATGGCACCACTATCAGAAGGATAGCAATTGAAAAAGTGAAAAACCTAAAACATTCCTATAAAGTAAATAAAAATTCCCATATAAAATGTATTAGCATGTTCCCCTCATTGTGTAAACCTTGGCAGGTATGTGACAAATGGGGAAATCATCCAAATAATAAAGGGACATGTTGGTGTTCAACAATAAAAATAAAATAAAATGTATTAGCAGTGTTTGTATCGGTTGCTCAAACACGCACACAGTTTCTGGGTCCCTGAAATGACTGTTTATCTCTGAAAGTACTTTTCCCAAAAGTGAGCCATCCATGATACCCACCACAACTAAGAAACATCCAAAAATGTACCATTTAAACAATCATTAATGACTAATTCTCTCCTTCAATCTTTCTTTGCAAATTATTGCCTTATTGGCTTGAGACAACTATCCAACTGGGATGGTGGAGTGAAGAAAAGGAAGAGAGTGTTATGGCTTATTACAGAGATAATGGAGGTAATATTCAGCTTTGATATTTTAAAATGAGACTTTGCAACAATATCATAGCCTGGCTAATTTCCTTTAACCTGCCCTTTAATACATGGAAGATCAAGTTTTACTTTTTAAAATGGCCTACCAAAAGAGGAATGTGGTAGATGTTGTAGGAGAAGAAAGTCTTTTTCTTTCTGTCCTTAGATAACTGAGAAAAAGAATGGGAACAGATCAATAAGGTGGGGTTTTTTTCTCTAGATTTGCTGTTGTGGATTTGGTAAAATAGGGAGAATGTTAGCTCTGTGTCTTAGATTCTGAGAGGCTGTGGTGCAGAAGTCAATCACTGACATGGGCAGCCTGCCTTATATGAGAATATTTGCTCATGATCTCTGTTCTCCTGAGGCACTCTCAGATCCTGTGTGGCACAGGAGTCCTATGTGTCAAGATGAAGTAACCATACATATACATAATACAGAAGTCAGGAGGAAGGGTCACCAAAGGTCTTCAGCCTTTAAGAGCCAAGGAGAAGCAAAGTAGGGAAGGAAATTGATTGGTGCTCCCTAAGACAATATCCCATGTTGAGTGATGAGTGACATTTTCCCCAGACATAGACACAGCATGAGAGGCTAACTGGGGTTGTGGTCAGGGACTAGCACAATAAAACCAACCAGCTGCCACTCTTGGACAGAGCCATGTAGATATAGACCTAACTTTCACACCCTTCCCTCCACACACAGAATGTTATGGTAGGAAAAGATTGAATCCTATTTGATTCTTAAATCAGTCTGAACATTGCACTTTTGTCTTGCTAATCACTGATGTCGACTCAGGTCATACATGAAAAAGACAAAACTGGGAACATTCTTCCCACATTTGAGTAGTACAAGATCAAATTTGCTGACCAATAGACTCTGCTGAAGAATATTCTTCCTGTCAAGCATATAGACTTTGAGATGTTCCAGAGCTTTCTACAGGAAACTGGGTACTGGAAGATAAGTATTTGCTACAAGACCTATTTTCTTAAAACATTTGCCAGCAAAATGTCTCTGAGATAGCCCAAAAGATGTGCAACTCTTACAGAATCCAGGGTTTATGAAGAAAACATTCCATGTTCCAGAGGGAGTGTTGGCCATTTAATTACTGCCATCTAGTTCCAGCTCCCAATTTGAATTGTAAGTTTTGAGGTTAGGATGGACATTGATGTACTCCTAATGAATCATTGCTACACATGACAACATAGTGAATGTCAGAATAATTACTCCAAATGAAAGAAATCAGAAGAGGCAAGTGAATGCTTGCTCTAGGATTCCAATTTTTATGAAAATTCTAGAAGATGAAAAGTAATCTTTATTGTTCTTATTTTTATTTGAGAGAAGATCTTGACATATATCCCAGGCTGACCTTGAATTTACGATTCTCCTACCTCCGCCTCTCAAGTTTAGACTACAGGAATGTACCTCCCCATGCCTTATTGAAAATTAATCTTTAAGTGTGAAAACAAATTATTTGTTATGAAGATTGAACAAGAGTCAGGAATGGTTGGGAATAAGTGATTGTCAAAGCCATGAGGATAATTTGGAAGTCAGTCCATATTGTTTCATGGGGGTATATACATCAAAACTCATCCAATTGTACCTCTCTCTTTTTCTTTGACAGTTGTAGGGCCTGAATTCAGGACCTCATCCTTGTTAGGCAGCTGCTCTACCAATTGAGTTTTCCTCCCCAACAGCCCTTTTTTTTAACTTTAATTATTTTTTAGCTGTCTTACACTTTTTGCCCTGAGTCAACCTTGAGCTGTGATCTTCCTTTGTAGCTGAGAGTAAAAGTATGCACCACTGCAACCACCTCAATACCCCATTAATTTTTTTATTGTAAAGGTGATATACAGAGGGGTAACATTAATACCCCATTTTTAAATAACTCTTTTTTGGTAACTTTTTTCCAAATGGCTATTATCTGTTATATAGCATTATAGCTAATTTTATATGCACACGTACATTTTTAATCATCTAACATGAATATATAACCATTATGCTGAAAGATACTTATTTAGACATGACCAAATTCAATTTTGATGTTACTTTTTTCTATATAACTAGTTCTATTAAAGAGTAAATTAATCTTCTGTCACCTTTATATTACAAAAGTAAATTCACATCACTTTATCAGAGCAATGTTAGACATATGCTTAGTGTTAAACATCTCTCTATATATATGAAAATCCTCTATGAATGGCATTTGAAACTGAGGTATACTATTGTCCTTTATTTAAAAAATCTTCTTTTTTGCATTTGTAAGCAATACATTTAAAGTTATATTTGGGTGAATGCAGTCATAATATTCAATGTACATATATGAAAATGGAACCAGAGAACTTGAGATAGGTGGAGTTGGGAGAAAGGACAGAGAATTATGAAAGGGATGACACTGATCAAGATGCATTGCACTCACAAGCTGACATGTTGGGTTGAAACCCCTCTGTACAATTACTTAAGGATAATAACATTTTTTAAATAATAAAGAATTAAAATTTAATTGGGCAAAGGGATTTAAATTCAACAATTCCATACTTTATTAGTATAATGCATCTTAATCAGCATCACCCCTTTGTCCATCTTTCCCAACCCCCCATCCCCTCAAATTACCTAGTTCCATTTCACATATGTACAATGAGTATTTATGACTATATTTTCCCACCATTCTTGGCATGCCTCATTTCCCCCAAAAAAATGGGGAAAAAATATTGTCTTCACTGTAAATCCAGCCACCCTCACAGTGGATTATATGAAATTCCATCTTCCTATATATATATGTAAATTCAACCTTCTACATCTACTGAATTTTCTGAGAGCTGCACTAGAATCTAAAAAACTTATATAGTACTGTTCAAATCAGCAAGATTCCTGTCCCAGTCTCTTGTTGCCATCCCTTAGCCTGAGACTCAATATTTGGCTTGTGGGTGCTTGAGTTTCAGCCTGTGCTGAAACTGGTTCAGATCTCAGGTTTCCTTGATCTCTTATTTCTCATTAGGTAGGTTTTGGGAAAGTACTAAAGAACTGAAAGATGCCCATTGACTCTGGCAAGGCCTAAGATCCCAAGTATTCCCCTCTATCCCAGCTCAGCAGCTCCTCTTCTGCCACAAACTCTTTCCCATCTCTTCTTAGTTTGAACAGTGCCTAAGTGTCTGAGCAGTGAGAACTCTGACCACCCCCCTCACTATTGAAACGATGGCTCTGTCAGCTTCTAGCTCCCTAGAACATTCTAGTAGTATTCTCATAACATCAAAGGCAAAAGCTAATTCCACCTGAATGTTTCTCCACTATTCCCACAGTCTATATGTTATGTTTCTTCTAAACCCAGAAATATAAGTATACTTGGCAAGAGGAAAACCAGGGGCCCAAGGACATTTGCTTACCCGGGAATGATGTCAGGGCAGCTCTAAAAGGACAGGCCCCAGCCACAAGCATTCAGCCTAAAAGATGCTTTCCAAAGACTGCCCAAGTCTCAGGTCCAAAGTACAGAGTTTGACGTTTGACTTATTAAGTGTGTGTGTTTGTGTGTGTGTGTGTGTGTGTGTGTGTCTGTCCCTGAGCTCTCTTTGCTCAAGGCTAGAACTCTACCACTTGAGCCACAGCTCTACTTCTAACAAATTGGAGTCTCATAGACTTTCTTGCTGATGGCTTCCAAACAATCCTCAGATCTCAGCCTCCTGAATAATTAGGATTATAGGCATGAGCCACTGATGCCCAGCTACTTAGCTTCCCCCTCTCTTCTTCCTGGTCCTAGGGCTTGAACTCTGGGTCCGGACACTGTCCCTGAGCTGCTTTTTGTTCAAGGCTAGCACCCTACCACTTGAGTCACAGTGCTACTTCTGGTTTTTCCTGTGATTACTTGGAGATAGGAGTCTCAGGAACTTTGCTGCCCAGGCTGGCTTCAAACCATAATCCTCAGATCTAAGCCTTCTGAGAAGCTAAGATTACAAGCACAAGCTTACAGCACCCAGCCTTAGCTTTTATAAAGCTCTCTGAACCAAGGCCCCAAGTGCGGGTGGCATTTTGGTGCTTGTTTTTCGCAGGCCCAGCTCATCACAATCTACATTTGAGATTTTTTGACGTCTGTGTCTTTCTAGTTTCCTTCTCCACTGTGTGCAGAAGGCAGTAACCTCCAACTCTTCTGGATCCAGAGAAGGTGTTCTCAAACCCTGGAGGAGAGAGAGGTAATTAAATACAGTATTGGGGAACATTGTGCTCCTGACCCCATGTCAGGCAATGGGAGCTCACTCTTAATGTATTTCTCCAGAAGTCAGGACTAATTTTCTGATACCACAGCCCTACATTTCAGGATCAAGGAATCATGTCTGAAGAGAGCCTCTCAATTACTTCTAACAAAGTAGCTAGTTCTTTAAAATCATCTTTTTATTCTAAATTCTTGTTCCCTTTGAACCTTGCTATATTCAGTTTGCTTTATGGAACATATCTGCAGGTCTTTAGGTAAGCAGCCTAGACAAAGCCAGGACCTGGTGTACCCTGCAGACACACAGTTCGCTTTCGGGCTCCCCTGGAGATTGAGGGGTGGATGGTGGTCCTACATCAACTCATGCTGCAGGGTGAGTATAAGGGACTGGCCGTAGTCTGGGCTTTCAGGGCTAGAGAAACACTCTGTTATAGGGTAGGCCTTAACTGTTGTTTCAGGTCTTCTATAGGGATCCTGGGACATGCAACTGAACTATACATTTTTCAAGTGCTTTCCACAGTATGTCTAATCTTTGAGCTTAACTGATAAAACATTTCCTTAGGGGCTGGGAAAGTGGCTCAGTGGGTAGAGCGCTTGCCTTGCATGCATGAGGCCCTGAGTTCAATTCCTCAGCACCACATAAGCAAAAAGAAAAAAGCCGGAAGTGGCGCTGTGGCTCAAGTGGTAGAGTGCTAGCCTTGAGCTGAAGAGCTGAGGGACAGCGCCCAGGCCCAGAGTTCAGGCCCCACGACCGGACCCAAAAAAAAAAAAAAAACATTTCCTTAAACTTAAAATGAATATTCTCATTATAGTTTTAGAACTTCTATGCACTAGCAGACTAGACTAGGTCGCTGGCTTCATGTAGTTTACATTCTATCAAGAGGGCAAGACCAGTAAATAAATACAAGGAAACAAGTTATCATTACAAACTGTGATGGGCATTTTCACAGAAGGAATTGAAATCAAAGAAACCTGTTATGATCATCCCTGACTTGCAAAAATTTAACTTTGAATTTTGCTTTTGTTTCTGTGAAAAGTTACATTTAGGTAGAATACTCTCTCAGTAAATACAGCTCCTAGTAACCCAGGCAGTCATAAGAGTAAACAATTAACATTCTACAATGCACTAGATCACTAAATACACAGATGCAACTTGTGGTAGGTTAGTGAGTGCACTTTTTGGGTATTATTAGAATTTGAACTCAGGATTTCTTGTTTACCAAGCAGGAACTCCACCACCTGAGCCATTCCTATAACCCTTTTATGCTTCAGTTATTTTCAGATAGGGAGACAAACATTTTTCCTTAGCCTTAGATTGTGATCTTCCTATCTTGATCTCTTGTGTAGCTGATGTTACTTACAGGTGTACACTATCAAGCTAGACTTTTTGGGGTTTTTTGTTTAGTTTTTGTTTCTTCTTTTTGCTGGACATGGGGCTTGAACTCTGGGCCTGAGCGCTGTCCTTTAGCTCTTCAGCTCAAGGCTAGCACTCTACCACTTGAGCCACAGCTCCACTTCCAGCTTTTTCTGCTTATGTGGTACTGAGGAATTGAACCCAGGGTCTCATGAATGCAAGGCAAGCATTCTACCACTGAGCCATCTTCCCAGCCCCCTAAGCTTGTCTTTTGAGAGGTTCAAGCTAATTTTTTTTTTTTTGCTCAGTCTAGTTCTTTTTTGGGGGGTGGGTCCAGTTGTGGGGCCTTAACTCTGGGCCTGGGTGCTGTCCCTCAGCTCTTTAGCTCAAGGCTAGCACTCTATCACTTGAGCCACAGCGCCACTTCCGGCTTTTTTTTTTCTTTTTGCTTATGTTGTGCTGAGGAATTGAACCCAGGGCCTCAGGCATGCAAGGCAAGCACTCTACCACTGAGCCACCTTCCCAGCCCTCAGTCTAGTTCTTGAACAACAATTTCCATAACTCTGCTTCCTAAGTAGACTTAAATGTATTTTTGACTTAATGATATGTATGTGTGTGTGTGTGTGTGTGTGTGTGTGTGTGTGTGTGTGTGTGCATGTGTGTGCGCACTTGCATCCTAGGTCTTGAACTCAGGGCCTGGATGCTGTCCCTCAGCTGCTTTTGCTCAAGGCTAGTGCTCTACCATTTGAGCCACAGTGACACTTCTGGCTTTTTCTGAGTAGTTTATTGGAGATAAGAGTCTCACAGACTTTTTTGTTGTTGGTCATGGGGCTTGAACTCTGGGCTTGGGCGCTGTCCCTCAGCTCTTCAGCTCAAGGTGAGTGCTCTACCACTTGAGCCACAGCACCACTTTCAGTTTTCTGAGTGGTTTATTGGAGATAAGAGTCTTGCCAGTGACTCTTGCCTGTAATCCTAGCTACTCAGGAGGCTGAGATCTAAGGATCATGGTTCAAAGCCAGCTAGGGCAGGAAAGTCTGTGAGACTCTTATCTCCAATAAACCACTAGAAAACCGGAAGTGGCACTGTGGCTCAAGCGATAGAGCGCTAGCCTTGAGCTGAAGAATGCAGGGACAATGCCCAAGCCCAGAGTTCAAGCCCCATGACCAACCAAAAAAAAAAACAAAAACAAAAAAAGAGTCTCATGGACTTTCCTGCCCCGCTGGCTTTGAACTGTAATCCTCAGATTTCAGCCTCCTGAGTAGCTAGGATTACAGGTGTGAGCCACTGGTGCCCGGCATCTCACGGACTTTTCTTTCTAGGCTGGCTTTCAACCATAATCCTCAGATCTCAACCTCTTGAGTAGCTAGGATTACAGGCATGAGCCACCAATGCCCAGCTCACTTAAAGGTATTTTTTATCTTACTATGTGTTGACAGCTTTAGGGAAGCTGTTCACCATTTCTGAGGAGGTAGAATTTAGAGTCAGGTCCAAAGGGTGAAAAGCCATGCATAAGAATATTTGGTAGATGTGGAGGTGGGGAGGTTGGACTGCACTAAGCAAGGGTATTCTCTTACACATGCAAATAGTGTGTATCTCCAGCTTCCATGTGGGCTATGCAAACCTGTTATGTGTTGCTTTACTCTAACAAGTCAGAACATACACATCACTGCAGCTTTCCTTTAGAGAGCTGACTGTGGAGCTCTCTGGCCTCAAATCTAATAAAAGACAGACATCTCCAAGGAGAGGTGAGGACAGCACTGGTTTATGTAGGGCAGAGCAAAGGAGGAAGATAGAGCTGCCAGATATTTTGGTAAACCTTTTTTTAGTCAACATTTCTAACAAATTGCTCATGTCCAAATATAGATTAGGTATGGTATATAGAACCCATCAAAACCACAACACAAGGGAAAAAATCCACATCTGTTAGTAGACTTTGCACTACAATGTCACCTAGTCCCTATGAGAAAGAGTCTGCTCAACACAGGAAACTTGGGAGTGTGTTTATGTAGTACAGGCTTTGGGGAGGGGATCAGTCACTGCTGTTACAAAGAAGGAATCTCTGTCCAGATGGTCTCCTCCAGCCATGGGGAGGAGAAGGACAATAAACTAAATATAAGGCAATCCTGGCAAACCTGACTCACTGACAGTGATGATAACAACAATTAACTTTTGTGATTTATGCAGGTTTACTCCTGACCATATTGTCTCACCTGCCACACTAAACACGTGGAAGAAATGCACATAATCTTCCCATAATATCAAGTTTCAATGGAAATGCAAGTATGAAGACAGAATAAGGAAACCTGTTGAAATTGTTTTGGGGAAAGGTAGAAGGGAGAAAGACGGAAAAGGAGAGTGATAAAAGGGATGAGTTTGATTGGAACAAATAGTAAATGTGTGAAAATGTAACAAATGAACCTCCCATGTAATTAATATATTCTAATAAAAAAAGTAAAAGCAAAACAAGAGACAAGAGACAACTTAAAAAAAACCTACCAATTTATGAGCTCTATGTTGAAATTATCAGACAAAGAAGTAAAAATAACTATGGTGAATATATTTATGATTTTCATGGAAAACATAGGCAAAATGCAAAAAATCTCCTAACAAAGAGATAAAACTATTAAAATAGAAGAGAAAAACATGGTAAAATATTCAGAATGCTTTGGCAGGTTTATTCAAATATCAAATACAGCAGTCAATGAGACTGAAGGTAGATTGGTGGATATTAGCCAAACAAAAACACGCAGGAAGATTTAAAGAAGAAAGAGAATATCCTTGTGATGTCTGTCACATTCCTACTTCTGTGGTACTCACCTGTAGACTTGCAGCCTCTGCAGCTCTCACAGTCTTGGAAACAGCCTGGAGAAGCTGCTGTGCATTTTCCACCAGGAGCTCTTCAGAGGACTTGCTTCTCTTTAGGGAGGCCTTTACACTTGGGAGTTTACAGAAGGAAAGCAGACCTTATACCAGGTAAGAAAGCAATCTCAAATAAACAAATACCAAGTAGTACTTGGGAGGCTAAGAAAGGGAGGACCATGATTTGAGGCTAGCCTTGGAGGAAAAGTTGGTGTGATGCCTGTTCGACAATCCATAGCTTGGCAAAATGGCTCAAGCCTGTCTTCCCCTGCCACATGGGATGTTGAAATTGGTAGGATTGCAGTGGCAGGTAAGCCCAGGCAGAAAAGTCCTCAAGATTCCATCTCCATGAAGGGAAGCTGGACACAGTGGCATGTACCTGTGATACCAGGGATGATGGGAAGACTATACAGTTAGGGGTTGTGGCTCAGGTGTGCTACTGGGTGGGAAAGGAAATCTTACCCAAAAATGACCAGTGAAAGCCAGGCACTGGTGGCTCACACCTGTAATCCTAGCTACTCAGGAGGCTGAGATCTAAGGATCTCGGTTCAAAGCAATTCTAGGCAGGGACTCTTATCTCCAATAAACTACTCAAAGAAAAAGCCAGAAGTGGTGCTGTGGCTCAAGTGGTAGAGTGCTCTCCTTGAGCTGAAGAGCTTAGGACAGTGCCCAGGCCCAGAGTTCAAGCCCCATGACCAACAAAAAATAAAAATAAAAATCAAAGCCAGGCCCTTTCAGCCATGCCACTCCTCCATGCATGGCAGAGGCAGCAGTTCAGTAAATAAACTTCTTTTTGTGCCTGAATAGCGTGTGCTGTTCTCTTCATTGGCTACCTAATGAAACCTACCTATTTAATATACCTTACATATGGTGCCATGACTCTGATGGGGTGTTTGAGTTGGAAATGTTAAATTTCCTGACCACCCCTTTTCCATGAACCAAACTGCTTTGAAACACCATTGCAAGACTTTTAACCAATGCCATTGCTGGCCTTCACCTCCAGGTCCACACCACTTCTCTACTATGCCCCTCCCTGACCCATGAGACTTATTCTAGACTCCATTCAAGGACTACAACCAAGGATAGCTGCTGCCTTCTCCCAGAGGGGACCACATCTCTGCCTTGCCTTTTACCCTAATTGGATGCCCCTTGTCAGCAGGAAGTAGCCAGAGAGAATCTGCGCCCTTTTTCATAATTATCAAAAGGCTGGAATGTAAGGTCTGCCCTGGGCCATGAAGGCCCTGATCAGACACCTCCCTACCTCTTGGCTAGGTTTCTGCCCAGTATCTGTATTACCTAGGCAACTGGCACACCTGGAAGCAGTCATCTCCTCCTCTTGCTAAGAGACATCCTGGGCTGCCTCTGGTCACACCTCCTATCTGACCAAGGAGGGTCCCAGGCCCTGAAGTCACATGCAGATCCAATGTGGCCACACCTCTTCCTGTCCCTGGCCTACATAAGTCCTGGCCCCTTTCAGCCATGCCTCTCTTCTATGCATGGCGGCACTTCGGTAAATAAACTTCCTTTCCTGCCTGTAAAAAAAATAAAAGCCCGGTGCTGGTGGCTCACACCTGTAATTCTAGCTACTAAGGAAGCTGAGGATCACGGTTCAAAGCCAGACCAGGCAGGAAAGTTCATGAGACTCTTACCTCCAATTAACGGCCAGAAAATCGGAAGTGGCACTGTGGCTCAAGGGGTTGAGTGCTAGCCTTGACCTGAAGAGCTGAGAAATAGCACCCAGGCCCAGAGTTCAAGCCCCATGAGTGACAAAAATAATTAATTAATTAAAATAAATTAAAATAACCAGTGAAAAACAGAGCTGGAGACATGGTTCAATGGTATCAAGCCAGTCTAGTAAGAATAAGGCCTTGAGTTCAAACCTCCAGTATTACTGATCTATTGATTGATTGATCAATAGATAGATACGTAGATGATTATTTACATCATCTATTATAAACCATCATCATGGTTTACAGTGCTACAATCTATCTTTCAGGAGGCTGGGATATAGTAGTGGGACTCTTCAGAGAAAGAATGTTCTTTTTATTTTTGGTTGGTCTTGGGGCTTGAACTCTGGGCTTGGGCGCTGTCCTTGCGCTGTTCAGGCTCTTCAGCTCAAGGCGAGCACTCCACCACTTGCGCCACAGCACCACTTCCGGTTTTCTGGTGGTTTATTGGAGATAAGAGTCTCACAGACTTTCCTGCCCGGGCTGGCTGTGAACCATGATCCTCAGATCTCAGCCTCCTGAGTAGCTAGGATTACAGGCGTGAGCTACTAGTGCCTGGCTAAGTAAGTTCTAAAGACCTAATTAAACACTTTTAAATGCAATTATTGTTTTAATACCAAGAAAACATAACATAGTATCTGTAAATTAACAAATACAAAGTATGTTTTATGGAAATAAGAGAAGTAGCTCTTTAGCTGATTAATAAATTCAATAGTCAATATTTAGTTGATATTTCAATATCAATTGCTATGGATAAAGGAAATGGGAAATCTTGTGTAGAATTATATTTAGCAGTAAAAATTTGAATCAAAGATCAGACTTATACTTCCTAACAGAATTATGTACCTTGATGGTCTTTCTTTTAAACTAAAGGTGTATGAATTTAGACAGGTTGGTTTCTGCCACAGAAAATGTAAATGTTGTAAAACTTAAAAGTTGTAGCTGGCAGAATCCTTTTAAGATCCTTTACAAGACTGACAGCTTGATAATTATACATGTATTAATCAGGTTTTTTGTTGTTCATGGTACTGGGGAGTTGAACTCAGAACCCTACTCTTCTAGAGAAGCACTGAACCACTTGAGGTACTCTGTCAGCCCTTTTAAATAGTGTGTGTTAGTTACTTGCAAGGTAAAGTCTTGCTTTATGCTCAGGCTTCCCTAAACTGTGCTCCTACTATTTATGTTTCCTTTTGTTGCTGAGATGACTGGTGTGAACTACCACACCTAGCCATTGGTTGAGATGCAGGGGTGGGGGTGGGGGAGGTCTCATGAACTTTTATGCCTGTGCTGGCTTCATATTGCAATCCCCTGATCTCTGCCTCCCAAATAACTAGAATTACAGGCTTGAGCCATCACATCTGACAATTGTTCCTTTTTGTTTCTGTGTTTCTGATGTTTTGACACACTTGGATCTTACTGCTATTAGAGGGGCTGCCTCTCCTGGACTTAGCTATAAAAATATCCTCCATATGCAAACACATCCAAATCCTACTCCCCTATCTGCTCTGATAATGCCAGGGTCAGGCACAAGATACCTACTACAGATGATAGCTGTTACACCCCATGATTCCTTGAAATTATTCAAACTAGCCAATCCTAATATGCTTAACCTGCTCATTCTGCTTTATCTATTCCTTCTCATGAGAACCATCATAAGTCACTTTGTAACCCTCTTGCTGCTTCTGTCATCTGAAGGACTCTGTTGTTTCTTTTGTGTGGCCCTGCATGGCTTGTCAGGCCTCCTGTTTTTTAGAGATCTTCCTGTTTATAGATTATAAAAACTACTTTCAGGCCAAGCAGCTATGACTTAAGTCTATTATCCTAGCGACTCTAGAGGCTGAGATCTAAGGATCATGATTCAAATTGAGTCAGGGCAGGGAAGTCTGTGAAATTATTATCTCCAATTAAGCACCAAAAACCCAGATATGGGCTATGGTTCGTTGATTGCTAGCTTTGAGCATCAGAAAGCTCAGGGGCAATGCCCAGACCCTGAGTTCAAAGCCCAGGACCTGCACAAAAACAAATTACTTTCTTAATGATAATCATTTCCAGACTTGTGTTTTAGTTTCTATGTCTACCTGATTAAAACAACCTTGGGCACCCTTACAACAAAGCCCAAAAATAAAATGCTAAAATTAATTGTAATTTACATACACAAACATTCATATATTTTTTTCAGCACTTGGGTTTGAACCCAGAGCTTCCTTTTGCTTGACAAACTCTCTGTCCCCAGCTCTTTCATTTTTAGTTTATTTCATTTTTGTTGTTGTTTTTTAGATAAATTCTTCCTAACTTTACTCAGCTGACCTCAAACTCCTAATCATCCTGTCTCTAACCTCCTGAGTAATTTGGATTACAGTTATACATTACCATGTCCAGTTTAATTCCTATATCTTATCTAGGAAAAAAATGGCAGCTAGTGGAGGTGATTATGTACCTGAGATATTCCTTCCTGGAGAAGAGTAGCCAGGATTCACTTTCAGTTTTAAAACTGTATATTCTGGTTGGGGCAGTATTCTTTTTACTACCTTAAGGCAGTTTTCCATAAGGTAAGCTTTTCCATAAAGTTCAAGAACACTACTAATAGGAGTTCCTTTGTGGTTAAGCCACTGCAGGGCTCAGGGACTCAGGTTGGAATGAAACTGTTCTATAATTCAATTATCAACAGGAAAGTGGTTGAAGAGCTCCAACTAATGAAAACTTCTCAATTACACCATTGATACAGAAAATTATATATGTGTGTGTGTGTGTGTGTGTGTGTGTGTGTGTGTGTGTGTGTGTGTGTGTGTGTGTATATACATACATAGTGGTGTGTGTGTGTGTGTGTGTGTGTGTGTGTGTGTGTGCATGCACATGCACACCAGCCAGTCTTGATTTCTTGAACCCAGTGCCTGGGTATTCTCCCTGAGCATTTTTTTTTTTTTCATTTGCTTTTAATTTTTTTTTTTTAATTTTATTTTATTGTAAAGCTACTATACAGAGGGTTACAGTTACATGAGTGAGGTAATGAGTACACTTCCTCTTGAACATTGTTCCCTGAGCATTTTTGCTCAAGGCTAAGGCTCTACCAATTGAGCCAAATCTCTATTTCTAGCTTTTTGGAGATAAGGGAATTATGGACTTTCCTGCCTGGGCTGGCTTTGAACTTTGATCCTCAGATCTCAACCTCTTTAGTAGCTAGGATTACAAATGTGAGCTACCCACACCTGGAGTAAATGGATTAATCTTAACAGGAGTTGTGGGCTGATAAAGTTTTTCTTGGCAGGGTGAATTCTGAGAATTTTGTCATTAGATAGTTGTGTGTGATCATCATAAAATATGCTTATCCAAACTAACGTGGCTGTGGCATTACTAGGTGAAATAATCTTGTGGGACCATCACAGGATATACATTGTCCAAAATGTGATTATCTGGCACAAAATGTGTGTGTGATTATCTGGCACAAAATGTGTGTGTGTGTGTGTGTGTGTGTGTGTTGATATTGGGACTTGAATGTAGGGCCTCAAGTTCTCTCTTGGCTTTCTTGCTCACAGCTGGAGCTCTACCACTTGAACCATACCTCCAGTTGAACTTTTGCTGACTAATGGAAGTTGTAGTATCCCAGACTTTTCTATCTAGATTGGCTTCCAACTTCAATCCTCCCTGTTTTAGCCCCCTGAGTAGCTAGTATTGCAACTGTTAGCCATGACTACCAGGTATATGACTATTTTTTTTTTTTTTTTTTGGTCAGAAATGGGGCTTGAACTCTGGGACTGGGCACTGTCCCTCAGCTCTTCAGCTCAAGGCTAGTGCTCTACTACTTGAGCCACAGCGCCAAGTCCTGTATTCTGGTGGTTTATGGGAGATAAAAGTCTCACAGACTTTCCTGCCTGGGCTGGCTTTGAACTGTGATCCTCAGATCTCAGCCTCCTTAGTTGCTAGAATTACAGGAGTGAGCCACTGGCACCCAGCTGTATTTTTTAACAGTTCTGCTTTTTCTCTTCTTAGGATTAATATGAATACAGAGATGTTCAGAAGTGTTTCCATGGTAACAAAGAAAGGATATTGTGATTGTAAATTCGTGTTTGTAGATTAACCCTGAAGTAGAGTAAGCACAGCGGATGACTAGAGTAAGTGCCTGATGTTCTGAAGAAAGGCAGGACCAGTAGAAACTCTTGGAGTACTAAAAAAAATTATGCTGGTGACTCATGTCTATAATGTTTGCTACTCAGGAGGGTGAGATCTGAGGATCACAGTTCAAAGCCAGCCTGGGCAGTAAAGTTCATGAGACTCTTTTTTTTTTTTTGGTTGGTCGTGGGGCTTGAACTCTGGGCTTGGGCACTGTCTCTGAGCTCTTCAGCTCAAGGTGAGTGCTCTACTACTTGAGCCACAACACCATTTCCGGTTTTCTGGTGGTTTTTTGGAGATAAGAGACTCACGGATTTTCCTGCCTGGCTGGCTTTGAACTGTGATCCTCAGATCTCGCCCTCCTGATTAGCTAGGATTACAGGCGTTAGCCACCAGTACTCAGCTCCATGAGACTCTTATCTCCAATTAACCACCAGTAAAACAGACGTGGGGCTGTGGCTCAAACTGGTAGAGCTCAAGCCTTGAGTGAAAGGGCTTAGTGAAAGTGCCCAGGCCCTGAATTCAAGCCCCATGGCTGACAAAAAAAATTACAGGAAATATATAAAATGAAACTCCCCTCCCTCTTCCCACAGAATCTCAAGATGGCAGAGCTGTTTCCTACCTGGAGATGATGCGGAGCTGGTTGCTCATTGTTTGGATCTGTTCCACCATGCACAAAAGCTCCTGGGAACATCTTTGATCTATGCAGTTCTTAGCAATGATGCAGATAAGTCTGCTGAAGTTGTACCCAGAAGTTGCAGTTTTCCTAGCAGAAGTAATAAGCTGGTCTTTGGTCTATAAAAAAGAAACAAAAGCATTCATATAGGTAAAACAACTGTCTTTACAACTTGTCTCCAAGAAATTAGTGGTGAATGACAAAGTTTGTCCAAAACTATCCCCAGAACTCCTCCAAAGGATTCTAGCTTCATTAGTAACAATCTAAGAGCAAAAGAGGTCAGGGCAGCTGCCTGCCCATTCCCCATAAGAGCTGTGGGCTGCCCTGGCTCAGAGTTAGCTTTTACTAGTTGCAGAAAGGATTGAAGGCTGCTGGGAAGGGCCAGGGTGGAGAACATCCAGGTTGAAAATGGTTTGCTGGAGCAAAGGTGCAAAAGTCCACAAGTCACATGTAGAGCTTCCTTGCAGTTAACTAGTAATTAATTGTCTTGGGTTCTAATCCCCCTGTTAGCCAATTGAAATTTGACCTTTCTGGGCCTTGCTTGCTTTTAGTCAAGGGGATTTGGACTACATCAACAGTTTTCATTTCTTTTTTTCTTTTATTTTTAATGCAACACACCCCTATTCAAATAAAAATCTGGAACATAATGGTAACAGTTGAGACCACTCACACAAATGATGGGTGTTTCCACTGAGACACGGCCCAAACCAACCCTCTCCTACACCTCTGGAGCATGAGCTCCATGGGCCACAGAGAAGTTGACAATGATCAGAAGAGGAAAACCTAGGAAATGTCACAAATGATCCTATGGCATCACACTTTCCAGAGGCACGCTGCATTTGCCCTCCCAGAATTGAGCTCGGATGGAAAGGTTGATGATGTCCCACACAAACTAAGAAAAGGAATAACTCACATAACAAAATATTCTGGGGAGAGCCAGGCAGATTCCCAACCAGGTCTGGAAGTGGCTTGAGAGAACATAGTGAGAAAGGAGACAGGCTGGTCTTTGATGGTGGTTAAGGGATTGGGCAGGATGTGGATTTCCACATGTGGGCCAGTGGAAACAATCAGACTTCCCATTAGTGCCAAAAGACAGTCTGGGCTTTTTTAAATGTCTTGTCCAGGGCAGGAGAAGAACAAGAATGAGGGGCTTTAAGCTGCCAGAAAGCATCAAAAATAGAATTGGAGATTTGTTGCAGCTTTTACCTGAATGCCACGAGGAATAGACACAAAGCTAATGGGAAGAACTTAGTTTTGCTGTTTCTTGACTCATTCTCCTCCATGTGTCATGCTGACCCAATTTCTCCAGGTGGGGAAAAAATAATTCTAATACTTAGATCAGTTGAGGTAATTACAGTAAGAAGGGAAAGGAAGACAGGCATTTCAGTGCCCAAATCACAGCAGTTCCAAGCTTCTTGGTAGGCCAGTGCAATGGACATTTGGAAATAGGGAATGACATCTGGAAACACAAACTAGCCAGACCTGCATTAGGTTGTTTAATACTGTTTTGTTCCCTTTCGTTTAAAGACTGATGTGGCATCCCCATCCCAGATGCACTACTTCTTTCTGACCTCTGAGGAGACCATGGTCCTTAAACTCCAAAAATTTGTTTTATCCTATATCACCTCTAGTAGTGAGTCCTACAATGTAGATTTTGCTCCTCTGTGGATAAGGCTTGGGTCTGTGCAAGCTCTTTGCATCTGCTATCTTTCTTCACTGACTATTGATTGCCTGATTTCATAATCATTGGTGTCTTCTTGTTTGTTTACTTATTCTGCATATATGGGGGCGGGGGTGATGGTAGGGCTTTTGTTTTGTTTTGTTTTGTTTTTGTCCCAGACCAAGACTCAAACTCAATATATCTGATACTTGTTTTCACTCGTTGGCTGATGTTGGTGAACTATGCCTCTAACCCCAGATGGTGGCTTTTTTTGAGAGAGTATTCACTATGTAGCCCAGGCTGACCTCAAACTCCATCCTTTGAATGCTAGATCTAAAATATACCAGACCATAATAAATTATACAGGTCTCTAGGCGTTTACACACAGTGAGACCAAAGGAAGATACTCTTATGAGAGAACATAAACACACAATGCCTATGTATATCTGAGTATGCAAAATAATCTTTACAAAAATGAACTCCAGGAAATGAAAACAAGACTCTTCTTTTCTTTGTACTGTTTTTTTTCTTTCTTTTTTGTTCTGTATGTTCATTTATATGTCTTTGGGAGTATAAGGTGAGGCACAGAAATGGAGGGACACAGGATGAACAAATGCAGCAGTGATACTCACTAGACACTATGTTGAAAATGAACTATACAACTAGTGGGCGGGATGGGAGGGAAAAACTGGGAGAGAGTGAGCGAAGGAATGACATTGTCCAAGAAGAAATGTACTGTACCTGACTTATGTAACTGTAACCCATTTGTACATCACCTTTATAATAATTTTTAAGTGTAGTCTTGTGCTAACCTCTGTCTAGAAAGGAGTTGAGTAACACTTTTCTGATTCTCCAACCTTTCTCCACTCTTCCCATCACCCCCTTGCTTTCTCCAACTCTACCCTAGCCTCAGAGCTGTGGGGTTACTGGCTTGGCTGCTTATCAGTTCATATCATGGTCTGCCTGTTCTGCTTCAGGAAATCTTGTCTACTATAAGTCTGTGGCAAGTTAGTCCACTAGCCAGCCATTTTTAACAGTTTCACTTGGAGGGTTGGGTGAGGGGGTAGGGCGGGGAATGGGATGGGAAGGGGAAACAAAGGAGGAGGCTACAATGCTTGATAAGAAATGTACTCATTATCTTACCCATGTAATTGTAACCCCTCTGTACAGTATTTTCACAATAAAAAAAAGAGTACCAGGTATTGTGATTACTAAATCGATTGGTATTTAAATCTGAATTTAAAGCATACCTCTAATCCTAGTACTTAGGAGTCTGAAGTAGAAGAATTATAAGTCCAGCCTACTATATAGTGAGTTTGAAGCCAATTTGGGCTACATAATGAAATGTTGTCTCAAAAGAAACAAACAAAAAAAAAAATTCAAGAGCTGAACACCAGTGGCTCATGCCTGTAATCTGAGATATTCAGGAAGCTGAGATCTGGAGGATCTCAGTTCAAAGCCAGCCCAAGAAGAAAAGAATCTTGGAGACGCCAATTAACCAGAAAACTGTCAGGGTGGAGGTATGGCCTTGAGCAAGAAATTTGAGGGAGCATGTAAGGCCCTGAATTCAAACTTTGTCTTACATAGGAAAAAAAATCAGAGCTTAGGCATCAGTGGATCATGCTTGTAATTTAGCTACTCAGGAGGCTGAGATCTTAGGATCTCAGTTGGAAGCCAGTTCAAGCAGGGAAAGTTCATAAGACTCTTACCTCCTATTAAACACACATACACACACATACACACATATAAGATTTTGGATAAAATTCTGCATAGTTCCTTCTTGCCAGGTAATAATTTCACTCCTCCTTACTAGGTAGTAATTTCACTACTAAAATGGTCTTGGTTTTCTTTTGGTTTCTTTGTCACCTCCCTTCACTTGTGTATTTCTCCCGGGAAGTCAGTGAAATGAAGGGTTTGAGTATTTTGGGGTCCTTAGTCACATACCCATTGGACAACATCCAAATCCTATTTGGTATAGGATGTTTGGAGAGAAAAAGAGTCAGCAAGAGGAGATAACCACTGCCACCTCTGCTCTAATGACCTTGGGGTCACCAACCCAGTGAAAAGCTGATCAGCTGTGATGGACAGGGGCTAGGAAAGGAGAAAGGACAATGAAAGGTCTTAGTGTGGTCAGACCTCAGGTTTGACTTCCTTCCCTCTTCTTTCTTCTCTTTCTTTTCCTTCCTCCCTTCTTTTCCTTCTTTCTTTATTTTTGGAAACACTGAGTTTGAAATCAGGGCCTTGTGCTTGCTAGGCAGGTTCTTTATTATTTGAACTATGCCTCTAGTCCTTTTTTTTTTTTTTTTGTCAGTCGTGGGGCCTGAAGTCTGGGCCTGGGTGCTGTCCCTCAGCTAGCCCTCTACCACTTGAGCCACAGCACCACTTCAGGTTTTTTCTGCTTATGTGGTGCTGAGGAATTGAACCCAGGGCCTCATGCATGCAAGGCAAGCACTCTACCACTAAGCCACTTTCCCAGCCTTCATTTTTACTTTCATTATTTTATGAAATAGGTTCTCTTAATCTGGGCAGACTTGGACTTCAGTCTTCTTTATTTATACTTCCCTGTGTAGTTGCTATGACAAACATGCATCATCATGGTGGTTGAAATGGAGTTTTGTGAAAAAAAATTTTTGTCAAGCTGACCTTGAACTGTGAACCTACTGACCTCAGCCTCCTGAGTAGCTAGGACTATAGGCATGAACCACTGTGCCTGTCTATTTGGGAGGAATTTTTTTTAATACTTTTTTATTGTAAAAATGCTGTACAGAGGGGTTACAGTTACATGAGCAAGGTAATGAGTACATTTCCTATCAAGCATTGTTACCTCCTTTGGGAGGAATTTTTAAAGATATAAATAATTCCCTTTGGTTCATTCTTCTGAGATATAAATGAGTCTTAATTTCACCAACTTGAAAGCTCTGGTGGGAATTATTTCTCATGGTAGAATAAGACAAAACCTTAGTAACCAAGGGGGACTTTGTAATATACCTGGATAGAGAACAAAAAGTACACATAGAAGTGCTTGAAAAACCCCTGTGACCTCCTGAGAGCTACGTAGGGCTGTCCTGACTTTTGGAAGACAGAGGTGGAAAGTACCATTTTCAGCTGTAAAGCCCAGTCCTCCCATCACCATGCCCAACAAAGCCCAGGTACCAGGATTTGCCCTCTTTTCTTCAAACTCTTTGCCATCAGGAGCACCTCGTTGGCCATCTCTTGAGTAAGCTGAGTAATTTTGTCCTCACTGTCGGTGCTGCCATCCTCCTGGAGAGGCTGGTCCATCTCAGCACGGGGTCTGTCTGGACAGCCAGGGGAGGGCCAAGTGATGTCATTCTGTTGCCATAAGAGGAAAATAGGTAAAAAATTAATGGAACTCCTGATGCCCAGGCCTTTAAACTACCATGGGGATGTTAACTTCTATCTTATCTTTAAAAGAAAAACAAAAGGTCAAGATGTTGGTGGCTTATACCAGTAAGCCTAGCTACTCAGGAGGCTGAGATCTTAGGATCACAGTTCAATGGCAGCCTGGGCAGGAAAGTATATGAGACTTTTATCTCCAATTTCCTACTACGAAGCTGAAGAAACTGGTAGTAGAGCTGTGGCTCAAGTGAGGGAAAAAATAAAGCTCAGGGACAGTGTCCAGGCCCTAAGTTCAAGCCTCAGGAGCAGTACACATGCATGTATGTGCATACACACACACACACACACACACACACACACACACACGTGAGCACACATGCATAAAAAAAAGATGAGCATTTGAGGGTCCCTGATTCCTCCACATTACCACAGCTCTTGACAATTTTACCAAATAGAAGAGATGTGATGAGTCCCTATTAATCTCTGCTCCATTCAGAATCTATTAATCTCTGCTCCAGAATTTTCAAAAGCAGAAACCTGGTACACTCAGATCTCAATAAATACTATAGGTATCAACATGAGATAGAGTCTGTGGTCTCATGAAGAAATTCAAAGGAAAAGCCTCTGGAAGTGGCGCTGCAGCTCAAGTGGTAGAGCGCTCGCCTTGAGTTGAAGAGCTGAGGGACAACGCCCAGGCCCAGAGTTCAAGCCCCACGACCGACAAAAAAAAAAAAACAAAAAACTATATAGAGCACTCAAAGGAGAAGCCTCTGAAATATTTTAACTGGTGAACCCAAATAGTTTCCTATCAACTGCTCTATACAAAAGGACTTCACAATTTTGCTGTGGATAATTATGGCTTTGCCTCCTGGAAAATGACTTGATTGTTTTATTCAGGAAAACAGCAGCCTCTAGCATCCACAAGTGGGCTAGGTACTCATGATCTAGACCATGACATTTGTCTATTGGACCTTCACTAGTACCACATCCTCTAAGCCTCTTCCAGACCCCAGACCCCAGACAAGTTGTTCCAATCTAGAAGTTAATCCAATAAAGAAGTTTTGATAACGTTTTCAATAATCTCTTTGCCTCACCTCACCAAATGAGGCCCCTCCCCCAATCTTGGGCCAGTTTTGTGTTGGGAGAAGGCCTATAGAATAATTTGGCAGGTTCTGCAGCCAAGTGAAAGGTTATGAAGGGGAGAAACCAGGTTGTACGTCAATGCTGAGCTGAACAAATGTGCTTGGGAACTTCTTGAAGCCTGTAAACCTATACTAGTATAATTAGTCTCACTGGCTTTGATCATAGTCAATATATACAAACTAATTAAATGTTTGGGATCCACAATGCATAAGTGTCCTATCTTGCTTTGGAAGGAAACAAGTGTGTGTCTGTATTTGTGTGTCTATGTGTGTTTCTATGGGTGGGGGGGGGGGGTGTCAGGGAGTGAGGATAACTACCAATCCCATAATCTTGCCAATAAATCCTTTTTTTTTTTTCTATTAGTGATTCCATCTGGATTCTTGACACTTGCCAATGAATGAACCTTGACTGCAACAGGGAGGTAAATCTGCAGAGGTCAAAGTGGCAGGAAGTAGCTTGTGCCACAGGACAAGGGCTGTCAGTTATAGCAAGTGAGTCACTTCCGGTTGGGCTGATCAGGAAGATCTTCATGGACAACAATGGCAAGTGTAGGCACTGTTGGCCCTGTGTCTAGGACACTTACTGGTGCCAAACAACTATAAATATTTTGCATGAATGCTTTTGTTAATTACCAGGCTAGAATACGTAAGTCAAAAAAAATGGCCACAAGGCTTCTCAGCGGTCTCAGCTAGGAAATAGCAGAGGCAGCTGCCAGCCCAGGCAATCTGGGCGGACCCTAAGCTTCAGCTTTCTGAGGCTACACCTGTCTAGTGTGTTACACACAAAATCCTGGGAGAGCCTTTGGCTACTCGAAAAGGGTGGAGGTGGGAGTTGAGGAAATACGCTGAGTACCCTACCATGCCCATGTCTCCTGTGGTAGTCCTAGTGATGCCTGGCTCAGCAGTGCAGGTCCCTGTTGAGCTCCCTGGAGTCCCTCTGGGGACACAACCTGGAGAACCCACAATGCACCCTGCAGTAGCTCCTGCTGAACTCTCCTTATGGTGGGGCTGGGCCTGGACAAGGTCCTGTTTTGAGGCCCTCGCTGGTTCCTTCCTGGGTTTCAAGCACTGGACCAGGAGTCTCCAGGCTTGGGTGTGACCACCCTGCCAGGCCTGGAGCTGAGACACTGCATGGTGGGCTTTGGCTGCCCATTCCAACCTAAGCCAGTCCAGCACGTGCAGTCCCCATTCCTCTGGGTGTCCTTGGAGCCCGGGGAGCTTGAGGGCTACCTCATTGGTGGTGATGAGAAGGTTTTCCAGAGCCATAGTCAGATCTTCCTGGCAGTACCCTGGCTCTTGGCCTTTGGCTATGATCTCCTGTACATCCTGGATACCAGACACCATGCTCTCCAGGAAGCTGTTTGTCCTGGACTGGGGGTTCTTACAGACAGGCAGCATTGGACAGACAGCATCTTGGAAGGCAGACTCATAGTCGGCATTAATGCTGCTGAGGTGGCTGGTCAGGACCATGGCTTGAAGGGTGAGCTCCAAGCAGAGAAGTTCAAAACGCGTGGACAGGCTTGGAGACGGTTTAGGGGAGGAGATCAGGATGTGTGCTACATCTGCCAGAGCATCTGTGAGTACATGCACTTCCCTGCTCAGAAGGCAGACCTCACCCTTTACATGTTCATCCCCACATAGAAGGCTAGACAGCCTGGCAGCCCCTTGTAGCCTTTGAATCACATCCACTGCCTGGTCCAACCCTTCCTGCAACCCTTGCTGTTCCTTCACTGCCTGTCGCAGGGGCAGTAGGAAGAGGCCTCGTCTTCTACTGAGCCTCTTCATGTACTGGATCAAGTCTTGGACAGCCACTGACCACAGAAGACACCCATTCTCAATGCTCTCTTCCCACAATTTGGGGGCATGGAGACCATCAGAGGCCAGAATTTTGTCCAACAGTTGTTTAGCATGGATCTCTGCCTCTTCCAATCTGCCTTGCATTCGTGTGAGTGTTTCTGGATGTCCCAATGAGTCAAGGTCCTTTTTGTCAAAATCCGTGGGCCCACTTTTAGCTGTTAGCTGGACCACTGAGGCTAACTTCTGCTGGAGCTCTATGAACACTGCCATGTTCTCTGATAAGTCAGCTGTTGGGTTAGAACAAAAGAGTTGTTGGCACAGAGGGTACCAGTCACCAGCTATAGTGACCAAACCCTGTTTGCTTTCCCTGGTCCTCTCAGACAGCTGGAAAGCCACTTCTAAGAGACGATTATTTCCAGAAGTTCTACTATGGGCTTTCTCCACTGCTGGGTCAGTAATGGAAGGTGTCTGTGAGGGGATTTCTTGGGGTCCTATCATTCTCATTGTTGTGGGTGGTCCTTCCCCAGCTGCATCCTTCTCTGGCAAACCGTTGCAAACTGAGGCCACCACCTGGTGGTGCTGGCTGTCTACAGCAAGAGGGAGTTTGCTGGTGATAGGGAGAGAAGTACTCATCTTCTGTGGGCTATCAGGAACTGAGCAGCAGGAAGATGGTTCCTTTGGTAGGAAAGAGGTACACAGATCTGTTTCCTCTGAGCCAGGCAACCTCTGGTATTTCCTTTCAGTAGCTGTGGAGACCTGGAGTCTAGGGAAAATAAAATAACACTGTTTCTTAGCAACAGTAGACCTTTGAACTTGACTTCGAAGGGGACTGAGGATATCTGGGTGGTTTGTCCCATCCAGCCCTTCTCGAATTTGCTGAGCTGAATAAATAAGATGTTTGGCCATGGTTAAAACTGTGAGTTTATCCTGAGGGCTGTAGCCTGATTTGTGTCCAGACACTGAACCCAGGACCAGCGAAGATTGCTCCAACTGCTGGATCAAGACTCGAAGACCATTGCGGAAAATGGGGTCGCGATCTTGGTCCACATATCTATTCATTACCTGCACTATGTGTGCGGCTCGACTTTGTAAATATGCCACAAATCCGGAGAACTCTCTGGAATGTTCACCCCTAGGAGCCCACATAAATAGATTCAAGTGCCTGATCATTTCCTGAATAGACACGTTCAGGAATTCGGGAATATTCAGAACATCATCAAAACATGCCAGCAGTCGTTCGGATGCCCAGGCCCAGGCCTGAAGCAGATCTTGCAGAATGGCAGGGCTGCAGTCGAGTCTAGACCCTTGGGGACTTTGTGAGAAAAGCTGCTGCACTCTGCCCACGAGCCCCCAAATCCCTGCTACGGCCACCTCCAGGTCTCTGCCAGTCTGTGGTGTGTGGCAGCAAGCCAAGACCAAGCGAGCTACTTGGAGCATCTGGTTGGCCTGGTCCTGGAAAGCATCGAGGAAAACCTGGAGGCTCTGTGACCAGGCCTGGCCGTCCCCAGGGGAACTGGGTGTGGAAGTGGCCAAGGCAGCCTGGAGCAGCCTTTCGAGAGGACTGTGGGTGTCTGTGAACGTGTCCAGGATCTGGCGCAGGAGCCCGGCGCGGACTCCCCGGGACAGGGCCTCCGTGGCAGCCTGCAGCGCCGCGCCTTCCTCCCCCGGCTCCAGTGTCCCCAGGATTGTTCCCTGTGCCCCGTCAATAGCAGCCAGGCGCCGGTCGCTGGCGCTCCCCAGCTCCAGCGGCTGGCTGCAGCGGGCCACCAGGCTCAGCCTCTCCGGCAGCGCGGAGCAGGCAGCCAGTCGCAAGCCATGTCCCGGCACCCCGGCCGGCAGCGCGTCCAGGAGGCCCCCGCGCAGGCGCTCCGGCGCGGACACCGCCAGCAGCTCCCGCAGCTGCCCCAGGCGCCGGCTGAACGCCCGGTCCTGAGTGCGGAACTCTCGGGTCTCCGTGCCGGGCTCCAGTCCCTCCAGGAGGTCGGCGAGGATTTTCCTGGCCTGAGCGAAGACGTGGCGCCGGGACTCCGCCAGCTGCGGGTCGCGCGGGTGCCGCACGTGGCCCCGGGCGGCCGCGAGCAGGGCCGGGACGCAGCCCCGGAGCCGGCGCCCGGCGCGGCCCAGCTGCTCCTCCCGCCCGCGCCCGCGCGCACTCAGGCGGCCCAGGCGCTGCAGGGCCTCGGCCAGGTCGGTGAGGGAGCTGCGCAGAGAGCTGGCGTCCTCAGCCGCCTCCAGCGCGTCCAGGCAGGCCAGGCACCAACCCGCCGCTCGCACAGTTTTCCTGGCCATCGCCGCGTTTTCCAGGAGCAGGATCTGTTCGGGCAGTAACAAGGGAGAGAGGCTTGATGGCGACTGCACATTTTTAGAGCGATCGAACAGTCAATCACGACTCTGACTCCTAGTTTTTCAAATAAATGTCTCCCACACTTCCCCAAACTGAAAAATATAGAATCCCGGGGTGGGATGGGGGGTGAAGTCCCACAGGAGTGGTGGTGTTTATCTTTGGCTAGACTAGGTGTAACCGAGAATGGAAAGCGTCTTAAATTTGAGCCATAAATAATGTGGAGTCTAACCTAGAGAGAGGTGTGTGTGTGTGTGTGTGTGTGTGTGTGTGTGTGTGTGTGTGTGTGTGTGTGTGTGTGTGTGTGTGTGTGTGTGTTCCTGGGGCTTGAACTCAGGGCCTGGGTGCTGATCCTGAGCTTTTGTGCTCAAGGCTAGTGTTCTACTGGGCCACATCTCTACTTCTGTCTGGCTTTTGGGTGGTTAATTGGAGATGAGTATCATGGACTTTCCTGCCTGGGCTGGCTTTGAACTGTGATCCTCAGATCTCAGCCTCCAGAGTAATACACCTCAGGATTACAGGAAAGAGCCACTGCTGAACAGCATAAGGTAGGGATACATACTATTTGGATAATGATGGAGATGGGATTGCCTCTCCACAAAGCACCCCTAAGATATCTTCTTTAGCATGACCCCACTACTCCCAGACAGCCCTATCCATCCCTTTGCACTGAGCCAGTATCCATACCAAGAGCTTGCCCTTCCACACCCTTCCTCAGGGCATCAGCAGGTGCCCAAGGCCCTCTGGTTTTGTCCCTCCTTTAAAATGGCCCGTTGAAGTACATCTTCCTCCCCAATAACCTAGATCACTAAAATTCAAATGAATAATGTATGATCATATTTAAGCATATTTTAACAATGATCAATGTTCCAATTAAAAGTTAGGCCTGCTGGGAAGCCAGTGGCTTACACCTGTAATTATAGTTACTTAGGAGATTGAGATCTGAGGATCCAGATTAGAATCTACTCCAGCAGACAAACCTGAGACTTTATCTCCAATTAATTAGCAAAAAGCTGGAAGTAGAGGTATGGCTCAAGTGGTAGAGTGCTCGCCTTGAGCACAAGGCCTTGATTCAAATCCCAGTACACACACCCACACCCACACACACACACACGCACACACACACACACATTTTATAAGGGCAGGCTGAGGAATTTCTCCATGCTCCTCAAGACCCCCAAAGCAAAGTTTACATTCAGGATTCTCCTTTGCCAAACAGGCTGACCTGCAGACTTCAGTAGGCTTTTTCCATGATTCTTGGTTACAAACAGGGTGGAAAGTGACCCATTTGGCAACATTTTTATGAGAAGTTGGTGGCTAAGTGTGGGGGATGAGGAGGCCCAGTGTGAGTTTAAGATCATAAATCCTTAGTCAGTATGTCTATCCAGCTCCCTCTGGCAGCTTCCATCTTTATAGCTGATAAAATTGGTAATAAACTCTATGCCTGGAAATTTGGCAGGTTTTGTTTTCTGGGGCAAATATATGCCCAACCATGCCCCCAGCAATGACCAGCCTGCAGCTCTGACAAAACCTCACCTTGGTGGTGCCCACTAGAATTTGCTGGGCTGTGGCCACTAGCTCTTCCCGATGGCACTGACTTTCTGGTTGCAGATGGAGCCTCTGAGCCACCAGTGTGATGTTCCTCCCAGACAGGATCAGAGATTCAGCCACTGGCTTCATTTCCTCTCTGAGCCACTGGTCAGAGTCTCCTGCCAGCCTGGAGAGACACATTGCATTAATAATATTCAATACTGTCAAAAGAAGCATATTTATAAGGAAATCATGACACAAAGGAGTAAAAGAGCTAAACAGTCATTAAAATAGAGATATAGAGCAAGGCATGGTGGCACATACTTGTTATAATTCCAGCACTTGAAGGCTGAAGTGGAGGGCAATGAGCTTGAGGCCAGCCTGAGCTACATAAACAAGACATTGACTCAAAACAAAAACTAGGGCTGGGAAGGTGGCTCAGTGGTAGAGCGCTTGCCTTGAATGCATGAGGCCTTGGGTTGGATTCCTCAGCACCACATAAGCAGAAAAAGCCAGAAGTGGCGCTGTGGCTCAAGTGATAGAGTGCTAGTTTTGAGCTGAAGAGCTCAGGGACAGCACCCAGGCCCAGAGTTCAGGCCCTACAACCAGAAAAAAAAAAAAAACTAAATAATATAGGATTGTGCTTTTGGTCATAAATGTCTCTACCAGGCACATAGTATTGAAAAAAGTCCTCTCTTCTTCATCTGCTTTTATGTTCAGGTGTCTTATATCTGTGATTTGTTAGCATTTCCCCAATATTTTAATTTTTAAATTATTTATTCTTACTGTTATTTTTGTCTGTCGGGCTTGAACTCAGGACCTGGGTACCATCCCTGAACTTTTTCCCTCAAGGCTAGCACTCTATCACTTTGAACCACAACACCTCTTCCAATTTTCTGGTGGTTAACTGGAAATAAGCGTCTCACAGGACTGGGAATGTGGCTTAGTGGTAGAGTGCTTGCCTAGCATGCATGGAGCCCTGGATTTGATTCCTCAGTACCACATAAACAGAAAAAGCCAGAAGTCGTGCTGTGGCTCAAGTGGTAGAGTGCTAGTCTTGAGCAAAAAGAGACAGTGCCCAGGCCCTGAGTTCAAGCCCCAGCACTGACAATAAATAAATAAATTGTCTCATGGACTTTTCTACCCTGGCTGACTTTGAATCATGATCCTCAGATCTCAATCTCCTGAGTGTATGGTAAATTAAAGTAGGTAGCTGATAAATGAGAACACCATGAGGTATTTAAGCAGGAGAGAGAAATTTTATTATTACCAAACTGCTGCCCCCACCATAAATAAATAAATAAATAAGTGCATAGTTGTCCCCATGGACGAAATGGGTGGGCTGACATCCTGCCTGGGTTTAAGTAGGGAGAAGGTGCAGCCAGGTGTGGCATGGTGGGACAAAGGTGTGCCCACACTGGATGCAGATGTGACCTCAGAGCCTGGGACCCTCCCATGGATGATGGGACCAGAGGCAGCCCAAGATGTTACCTTGGAGGAGGGGGAGGTGACTGCTTCCAGGTGTGCCAGCTATCTAGGTGACGCAGGTATTGGGCAGAGACTTAGCCAAGAGGAGGGAGGGGTCTGCCCTGTCTTTCCAGGGCAGACCTTACACTGAGTAGCTAGGATTACAGGCTTGAGCCACCAGTGCTTGTTTACATGTAATTTTTATATATTTGACATGTCAGAGAGGTCAGAAGAGAGAGAGAATGCTGCAGATGTGAGCTTATTGTACCTTTTCAGAGATACACCCAGGCAAGAGCATTTAAGGCTGGGAAGCTGCAGGTCTAATTCCTTACCTAGGGTGGGAAAGGTCTTCCCATGCCAGGGAACTGACAACAGACCAGGGAGTAGGAGAAGACGTGAGACATGTTTCAGAAATAACCAGAGCAAAAAAGGGCCTGATGGATTGGCTCAAGTGGTAGGGTGCCTGCCTACCAAGTGTCAGGTTCTAAGTGGTTGGGAGAGGCTGAAGTTAGAAGTGAAGGGGGAAAGATACATGAAATCCCAGCTTCTTAGTTTTCTCATGCTGGCTGGACTTAGCCCCAGGCCCTGTTCACATTGACCCTAGGGCCCTTCTGGGGCTGGTAGTAAAGTGCAGTGGCCTGTCATATATGTACATATAGCACATCTACACATGCGTGTGTGCACATACCTGGTGATAGATATACCTTGCCAGGACCAGGGCTTGAACTCAGGAGCCTTGCACTTGCTCACTGCTACCTCCAGCCCATCTTTTTGCTGGTTAATTTGAGGGGGAGTCTCATAGACCTTTCTATCCAAGGTGGTTTTGAACCTCAATCCTCCAGATATCAATCACTTGAGTAGCTAGGCTTGCAAGTATGAATCCAACCCCTACAAATGTTTGGCATATGCTTTTGAGAAAGGAGAAATATATGAGGAAGGAAAAATGGGGAAAGGAAGTAAAAAGGAAAATGAGACTAGAAAAATATCTGGAATAAATATAAAGCAAAATGCTCAGGATAGTTATCTCTTGTCTGTAAACTTATCATTTTTCTTCCTTTAGCTCATTCATATTTTCATCAGATTGTATGTTTTTTCACATTTTTACTTGCATCAATTAATTGTATAAGGGGAATTTATCTGGACATATCTAGGAACATCTATATACAAACAATGTACCTTGATTAAACTCACCATTCCATCACTCTCCCTCATCTTCCTGCCCTTCCCAAACCATATGCTTCACAGTTCCGTTTTCACAAACGTACATAAAGAATTTCAGCCATATTCATCCTCCTTCACACTTCTGCTCACCCCTCTCCCACTAGTTCCCACACCTCACAGGAAGTTGGACATTTCTATCATGGTTTTAGTATATGTTCATCGTTCAAAGGGATTTTGTGATAGCATCTCACACATGCATATACAATATTTTAATCGTATTAACTTTCCCCACCCCCACTCCATTCTTCAACAGCTTTCAGCGAGTTTCATTCTGCTATCTTTATTCACAGATGTAATACAGTTTGGAATTATTTATCTTTCAGTTTTCCCATCCCTTCTAACAACCAACAGTCCCATAACTTATATACATATATATGTACCTATATATATGTATATATGTATGTGATGCATGTATATGTGTATTTTATATTATATATTTGTGTATCTATTATATATCATATATGCATTATACATTATATGTGATATATATTTACATATATCACATGATATAAATATATATTTATATATAATATATATGATCCTGCATGCAGTTACATATGCTTGTATTTCAGGTCCAGTATCCACACATAGTTTTAAGCAAAGAAAGACACATGGCTTTTTGTCATCCAGTCCTGCCTAAGCCTCACCCTGCTGGAAAGTTCCAAGATAGCTGATGTGGCAGGTTCTGTGACCTGTAGAGAGCTTACTCACAGACAAGGAGGCCAGAACCTTCAAGCTTGCCCCCACCAGGCTAGCACTGATGGCTTCCTTTAGTCCCTCCTGAGAATAGCTCATGGAGCTGCTCCAAAAGCCAGTGATGCCAAACAAACCTAAGCACCAGCATGAATTATTTGCAGTGTTGCTGTGATGGGGGCTCGCCCATTTCCCATGGCCTGCCCTCAGCTAATGTCTATATAAATAATTTATCTTGCCAGGAAGAGACAATGCAGCCTGGGAAGTTATTGAAATAGGCAAAAGTGATGTTCAACCTCTCTCAAATTTTAATGTGCCAGGTTTTGTACTCACAAAAAACACTGTGAAGCCAGGCTCTAGAGGCTCCTGCCTGTAATTCTAGCTACTCAGGAGGCTCAGATCTAAGGATCACAGTTCAAAGCCAGCACGGGCAGGAAAGTTCATGAGACTCTTACCTCCAATTAACCACAGAAAAAGCCAGAAGTGGTGCTGCGGTTAAAGTAGTACAGTGTTATCCTTGAGCAAAAGGAGCTCAAGGACACCCACCCAGGCCCAGAGTTCAAGCCCCAGGAGCAAGGCACCAATATCTCATGCTTGTAATTCTAGCTACTCAGGAGGCTGAGATCTGAGGACTGAAGTTCAATGCCAGCTTGGGCAGGAAAGTCTGTGAAACTCTTACCTCTAACTAAACACACACACACACACACACACACACACACACAAAACCACTGTATCGGGAAACTTAAAACATAGGAAAAAAGTGCTAAATGAGTACCAACACTTCTAAATAAGTCATAATAAATAGTTTGGAATTTTCCTTTCCATATTTTTTCTTTTTATTTAATTGAGGTCATACCACATACAGTCCTTACCTTGGTTCCATAGCTTTACTTTATTGTGGTAAAACATATATAACCTAAAAATGGCTGATACAAGAGTTTGAACTCAGGGCTTCTCATTCTCATTCAGCTTTCTTGCTCATGGCTACTGCTCTATCACTTGATCCATGCCTCAAATCCAGCATTTTTCTGGTTAATTGGAGATGGAGTCTCTTGGTCTGCTTAGTCTGGCTTTAAGCCACGATCCTCCAGGATCCTCCTTAGTAGCTAAGATTGTAGATGCAATCTCCTGGCAAATGGCTTGCTTGTTATTATTTTTGAGATAGAGTCTTAAGTTTATGTCCAGCTAGTCTGGATCACAATCCAATTTGCACTTCCCATATAGCTGGGGTGATAGGGAGGTGCCACAGTGTCTAATTTTTTTGTTTTTGTTTTTTATTGGTGGAGATGGAGGGGGGATCTCGAGGTTTTATTTAAACTGGCATTGAACCTTGATGTCTCAATCTCTGCCTTTCTAAGTAGCTAGGGTTACAGAAATGAGGCAACTCATGCACAGCTTATCATTTGCTTAAGTTTTAAGCATGAGTATTTTTTTCAGCAATATTTTTGTAATTTTTAAGTGCTTATATGATTTCAAACTTATAAAAGTTGCAAAAATAGTACAGTATACTCAGACACATTCTTTAATCATATTCACCAGTTGTCATTGCTTTGTCGTATTTGCTTTATTATTTCCCTCCTCCTCTCTGTGCAGATAGTTCAATAAAGATGCCTCTTTATCTCAAAAATGATTCATTTGCATACCCACCGAGTCATCCTCAAAATCAGGAAATTAAACAATTATGTAATACTGTTATCCAAAAATCAATATTCAAGTTTTTTTTAATTGCCCCCAGTCTGCAAGTATTACATTCAACAGTCAAATGTTACGCTAGGCAGAATTCTAAAAACAACCCTCTGCTTTATC